ATGAATGATAATGGGACACATCGACGTCTGCACTCATAGTGCCGTAAGAAGTGAACCAGCGTCGTCGGACCGGAAACCCAGAGTTTACCCTGAAGTTACCTCGCTAAGCGAAGATCCGGCTTCGTAGTACAGACCTCGGGATAAGAGATCAACTCAGTGAAAGCACCGCCTGCTGACCAATCAGAGGTCAGTGTGCGGAGTTTAAAGCTATCAAGTTATATTACAGGATAATGGAAATACAGAAAAACTGCCGTTGCAGGAAAGACGGCCGGCAAAAATCAACTGACTAGAATATCACCTCCCATCTTCAGAGCAATCACATTAAATTGACGAAACACTCGAGTCAAATGTAATTAAAGTCAGCTCCACTCGTAGGTAATTCACTTCAGAAACGCTTTTCTTATATTCAATGGAATGCTCTTAACATCCCGATAGCAATGAATACATTAAATGCTTTGACAATAACATTAAATGCTTTGACAATAAATACATTAAAAATAATGTCATCTGTGGAAAGCACGACCAATTATTTTAGCCGGCCCGGCTAAAATAACTGGATGGCCTACCTGCCTGTCAGCCTTCCATCTCGTGCACAAACTTATCTCGTGCCCTCATTGGTCATGTGCATTCGTGTGTGTTGGAGGAGGGGCTCTGTAAGGAAGTCTGAAGGAAGGGGCAGATTTTATTTGGCTGCGTACTTTCAAATTCGAGCTGGTTTCTCCATTCTTACCTACCCTACCTTTAATGTACGCATTCAAACACTTTTTTTTTTACCAGCTGTATTCACCTTGCAGGTGCAACTATGTGGCTTTTATCCTGGAAAAAGTGTTTAAGTCATGGATGTTTAAAGTTTAACTTCTTCATATTTGTCTAATATTATAGTTTACTTTTCATTCAGGAAGTATGACACTGCGCTGTCAGTACGCTTGTCCATGTTTGTGATTGGTCAAATGTTGCTAACCCCGCCCCTTTCATGTGAACGCGCACTCAGCCGGACAGAGAAACCCTGGCTTGAGTTACCGAGTTGATAACCAGCGTCGTAGGACCGCTTAGCGAGATTGCGTTTGTTTTGGGTTAGTTAAGCCAGATAACTCAAACATATCCAGGGTATGTTGAACTGGATTCGTAGTACAGGCCTGTGGTTGAAGCAGCTCCTTGTGTATGTAGAGGGGGCGTGTGGCGTAGTGGGTTGTCCGTAGGTGTTCGGATCAGGGGGTCACAGGTTCAAACCCCACTGCAGTCAACATGTCGTTGTGTCCCTGAGACACTTCACCCCAAATTGCTCCTGTGGGAATTGTCCACAGTATTGAGTATGCTAGTCGCTTTGGATAAAAGCGTCTAACAAGTACCATGTAATGTAATGTGTATAGATAATGTCTTTTTTCAGCTGCAGGAAATAATAGACTCTTAGGTGCTGCTTGAGATGGATTTAATCAGGTTTTTTCTCTTTCATATCTTGGTGAATGTAAATGTGAAAAATAGTAGAAATATAATTGAAATATTGGTTCTAAACTAAAAAAGTATTACACTAAATCCCAATTCACTTGTCTTTTTCCGACTGTGTCCTATATTTTGTCTTACAGGGATGTATTTTGAGAGAGTATTCTGAATGTCCTCAGATGGGCACAACCACCAATGGTCCAGCCTCAGATAAAACACCATGTTTTTGGTTAGAACACAGTTTAAGGGAGTGTGTGCACAGGAGCAGTTAAAGAGCCTTCACATTAGTGTGGTGTAGGTACAAAGCCACCCTAAACACAGGGCTCTGCCCATAATTTGTACCATATATCTGACCACGTAACCATTATATGTCTAAGTGGTCAGTTTAGAAAAGCTGGTGTATTCTGGATATAAATATCCTCTCCTTTTCAAGTGATGCAGTTTATTTAAAAATGTGATGCCTTCAGAACCAAAGAAACATATATGGAAATAGGGGTCATTTAAGGTAAAAAGGCTGTGAGGCAGTAGGCAAGGTTGCTATGTTTCAACATGATTAATAACCCTATATATCCAGTGTATGGTTCCAACCTGTTCACTGATGCCATCTGACAGGAGATTAAAGGTCTGTAGCCCATTTTTCATTTCTCTAAATGCATTTGTCAGTCAGTACATTATGATTTTCGGGTTACAAAAGAGCATGTGAGTGCAGACAAAAAACAGTCATGATGCAGTTGTGCTTCTTTAATTTTATATTCTCCAAAAGCTTTAAGACAATTTTCCAAACTAAACGACCCACTATATAACCATTTGTATATGAATTACTCATAACGTGTTTCCGTGAACTCTCAAAAGAAAACAATTGTTGCCTGGATCCTTTTACAATGAATGGAAAAAACTGAAAAATTCATGATGAAATACAGTTATTAGGGACTGCGTTTGAATAGCAAAACAATATGAAAACAACTAGGCCTACTTACACATTTTCACATAAATCGCGCATGTAATCCAAATCTCATTTAAAAATGAATATGCTCACTACTTGTTACTAAACAACTGGATTGACGTTTGATAAACAAATGTTCATTTCATGGGTGAGGTATTTCTTTAATGGCGCTCGCTTGGACAATATTTCATGTTTCATCATTTTATATTGTAGTCTGTACTATCACTCAGTGTCCAGTCTAACATACTGTAACAAGTCACTTGCGTGTGTAAAGATGGTTTTCACCTCGTAATGTGACACAGTGTCAGATGTCGCAACAATATTTTGCTGTTTGTTTATCGTGTCAACTTTTACTGCAAGGGCACTTAACGGAGGTCTGCCCCCCACTGCAGCAGCCATATGACAGCTGAGACAACGTCAGCAAGAGCTGGTGTCTGAATTTCACCATGGCACCAAAAAGTTATTTACAATTCAATTCAATTAAATTCAAAACCTTTATTTATCCAGATGAAATCCCATTGAGATCATTGATCTCTTTTTCAAGGGAGACCTGCAGAAAAACAGCAGTTATTAATCAGATGGTTGTTTATCAAAACCAGACATTATTCTTTTCATTGTGGAGTGCTTAAATGGACTTGCTAAACTGTGAAATGCTTCATACAAAATGTATATTCAAGTACAACTCAACAATCAGTTCAGATCCAGTTGAGCTTGAAGCACTATAACTTATCAGTAATGTATAACTTTGAATCAACCAGTCAAAGCAAACTTTTCATGGAAGCTGTGATGTACGTCAGATATCACTGTAACGTTTGAATACAGTGAGAAAATACAGAACTGAGAAAAGGCAGCTTAAATGCAATCTAATCACTGGAAAAAAAATGTACAAATTATTATTCATCAATGAGGGTGAATTTACTACTTTGCAATATTTTTTTTCCAGTGATTAGATTGCATTTAAGCTGCCTTTTCTCAGTTCTGTATTTTCTCACTGTATTCAAACGTTACAGTGACATCTGACGTACATCACAGCTTCCATGAAAAGTTTGCTTTGACTGGTTGATTCAAAGTTATACATTACTGATAAGTTATAGTGCTTCAAGCTCAACTGGATCTGAACTGATTGTTGAGTTGTTCTTGAATATACACTTTGTATGAAGCATTTCACAGTTTAGCAAGTCCATTTAAGCACTCCTAAATGAAAAGAATAATGTCTGGTTTTGATAAACAACCATCTGATTAATAACTGCTGTTTTTCTGTTGTTCTTCGTGTCCAAAATTGGGCCTGTCCATGATAAAAGCTGGACCATCTTGCCAGAGAGTCACTTATCACTTATGAATCCATCGTGTCCAAAATAGCACTCAAACTTTCATTGATTGAGTGAAGCTTACTCATCCCCCAGCTTGTGTACCTGTAAAAGAGCCACCAAATAATAATTGAGATGCTGTGAACCTTGGGCCTTTCACTTAGTTACCCATCATCATGGTAATTTTTACATGTATTTCTATTTTTAGATTTATATATACAAAATCTAATGATAAATCAGGAGGTACAGTAGATGCATGGTCTCAAATCGGAAGGCTGGTGGTTTCATTGCCATCCTCTGCAGTCAACATGTTGATGTGTCCTTGGTAGTTTTTACCCCAAAATGCTCCGATGGCAAGGCCAATGTGTGTGTGTGTGTGTGTGTGTGTGTGTGTGTGCGTGCGTGTGTGTGTGTTAGTTTTCCTGAGCAGGTGTCAGCTTGTATGGCAGCCGTATGAATGTGTGTGAATGATTGAATTCTGATTTGCATGTGTAAAAGCACTTTGAGGGGTGGCAAATACTGGAAAAGTGCTTTATAAATGCATAAAATGTATATAGTGCTTTTAAATAAATAAATGCAATTACATTTACAATTTAAGTTAATAATAATAATAATAAGTTGCTAGTTATTGAATAAGAACAAAACAAGTTGGACATTTGGAAATAGTGGCCTCACATTGTTCAGAATCAGAATCGGTTTTATTCCCAAGGCCTATCCCACAAACGACGAATGTATATGGCGCATACAAAGACATAGAAAGAAGAATAGGCTACGTAGGAAAAAATGTAGGCCTATAGGCTATATAGAAACTATTATAAAAGCTCTTAAAAAATATATGTTAAGACTATTGTAACAAGTCAATATTTACACAAAATATAACTATGTGTTAAAGAACAACCTGGCTGGCTACATGTAATACATACTTAATTTAAATACATGTCAGCTAGATAACCTACATTTAGGCTACTGTTCCACAGGCTGGGTCAGTGCTTTTAGTGGAGCCCACCTGTTGATGCAACACAACCCTACTCTTAAAACCAACTATATTGAATCGCCCTCCTTTCTCCATGACTTCTCCCAGTCGCAGTTTGCTTTTCCCGCCCTGCCTCTCTATGGAAGAAGTGGACTCCATGCAGAAGAGCTTAGAGCGCTCAGACTTGTAGGCGTGAAACTTTCCCCCAACTTCTCCTCCTCCCCCGGCCAGGAACAGGGCTGGCTCTAATGTATGGACCGCTCTGATTTGCCCGAGCCTGCTGTCCGCCGAGTGACTGACAGCCCGGGGGGAGAGCTTTTCTGTGCGCCGTAGCCCCGTTGGACTTGAAGGGGCTCTACGTGACGGCTGAGGAGTGGGCAGGCAACACTTCTGAACGGAGCGCAGCAGTGCAGCACAGTTCAGACACGCAGAGAGGAGAGGAGCCGTGCGGAGAGACGGGTGCCCATCCGTTAACTAGCTGGAGGAACGCACACTAACAATCCCTTATGGCTGCTTGAGAAATAACCAAACACCCCCCCTCCCCCTTTTTTCTCTTTCTCTGGGACTTTTGGCTTTTTAGTATTGTCCTGACCAGAAGTTGTTGCAAGTCGAGTTAGTTTCTCCAAGTTGAAAAGTGAATCCACTTGCCGGGGACGTCTCTGGCGGTCATGGATACCCATATAAGATGGAAAGTTAAACGGACGATAAGGGACGCCCAAATCACTTTAGCGGTGATTCTGCTTTTTGTCACATCGCAAGCAAGTTCAGGTAAGATGCAGCTGTGAGATGTGTGGGTTCATTTTGAAGCTGCGCTGAAAAAAAGTTTTTCTCTCTGGGTAAAGTGGATCCACCCCTCCTCCTAAACTCATCTTTGTGCCTTATTGCTGCCTTTATGTATACAGCTTGGTTTTTTAAACTAAGGGACTTGTCAAAGCATCATAGGACTGTGTGTTTTTGAGAGAAGGGGTTTTCTTTTGAGAATAACTCAGGGAGGTTTGCCACTTATTGGGTCTGAGGAGCTGGTTTGCAGTGAAGTTGTACAATGCCACTGGAAAAACTTGCAAACGTTTTTAAATATAGATATAACCCTGAATAATCTTGTTTTGAAAAGGTTTGCATGCATTTGATGGTGAAATAATAAACTGTACAGTATGTCCCGGGTCACAAATAACATCTGTTTTTCAGATGTTACTTACTGTAAAGCATTTTTCTGTCTTGCATTTTCCAAACTTATTATGAACTTCTAAGTATAACTTCTAACTTATTGTAAGTCGCTTTGGATAAAAGCGTCAGCTAAATGCAATGTAATGTAATAACTTTTCTGTGTTGCAGTTAGAGAAAGTGTGAAGAGAGTTTTTCCAAAGCTTTTTTCCTTTTTCTTTTTTTTTACTGATGAGGGATGAGCATAATTTTAAAGGGAGGTGCTGCAGCTCATCTGAAGTGGTAGGGTGGAGCCGCCTTAAAGACTAACATCAAACACACATTCTATAGCTCGAGGCGCTGTGTTTAGGCTTAAACCCCAATATATTTATTAATTACATTCTACAAATACTCCACATAACAGTTATGTGATTTAGAGTGTCGAAAATAGGAGTGTTAACGTTTGGCATATCAGTTAAATATCAGTTAAACCCAGCCTGTAGGCTCCAAAGGCTTGAAAGAAGAAGTTATTTTTTATCATTAGACCCTTCACTGTGGCAGTGTGTTGTCCCGTGGGGGTCCAGAGGTCAGGCAGTGCTGTGGTGGTGGGGCTGGGGTCCGGCCTACATGTATTATTAGCTGCTTAGCTGCGTGGCATGGTTGGTGGTCTGCTGTCTGCCGTAAGGCTCTGACACTGCAGGACTTTAAGGTGAACAGGTGCTTTCTGCTGTCTGCTTCAGGGACAGTAAGAAAGTCTCCAAGATTGTGCCAAAGTTACCAATGGGATGTCACACCGAGTCAGCTGCTTGATTCAAAGCTATGTAAAATGAGAAATGAGCTTAATGGAAAACAGATGAATTTGAAGTGGTTTTAAGTTCATATAGGGTATAGACATATAAAGGCTTTACTGCAGCCTGTTGATTTTTTATGTTGCCTATAAACACTGGTGGTTAAGTGAACACATCTTAGGTCACTCTATGGAGTTTTTGATGACAGAGGGGGAGTTTGACTTGAGTTTTTGGGACCAGAAACAGTGGGACTGAATCCATTTTGGTGCTGGAAGCTGGATTTAATCAGCGCTTTAGCTCCGATAGAGAGGAACCAGAGTCTTGTAAGGGACCCTCAAGGGGTCTGGTACAATTCCTGAAACTTGACACTTGACACATGCCGAATGGGAAATACTTGATGACTAAAGCAACATGCCAAATACATGCACGTTTTGTGTCAACTAATCACCAATTCTAAAGTTGAAGATTTTCACTTTTCTTAAAGTTTTCAAACTGATGAGTTGAGCTTTCAGTGGATTAAACTCAGTCTTTGCTTTTATATTCACTTTATGTCGAAATATAGTCAAATATAACATCTATACACACCTTTCCCAACAACGTGTGGTGGAAACGGTAATCGTTGACGATTAGCCAGTTGTCAGCAGTAAAAGTTAATCTTGACCCTAACCACATGACCTCTTAGCCTCAGGGAGGACTCGGTATACATTCATCTGAAAGCTTGCAGAGGCCTGCCCACACACCAGCACGGCTCAACTCTACACAGTGTACTCCAATTAAAATGCAGGTTTAAAATAATTTATATGGGTTGAACTGTAAAAATAAATTAAATATTCATTGTCTATTTTGTAATCATTACATATTCTTTAATTATCTACTTTATCAAATTGATACACTTGAAAAAAAAATAGTTGGCATATTTCCATATGGGATTTTGACATTCAACTGAGATTAAATCAAAAGTGATTGGGCAGCTATAATAACACTGCAGGCACAGTTAAGAGACGTGATGTTAGGTCTTTCAAACTCTTTCATTTCAACATTTGTCGATTGTTGAAATCCAATGACTCGTTCCACAAGGTATTAAGTTAATCTTGGACTGTTAAAACAAATCCCTTATTAAATCATTCATATAAAAAAGAAAGAAAGAAAAAAAGAAAGACAAATGTGGTTATATGGATTAGAAGCGTAATCTAAACTCTACAAAACCCAATTTTTAAGTATTAAAATGTAACATTTCGAGTTTTAGCTCACAAAACTGCATTCATTTTGGGGGTTCACCACCTGGAGGCAGCAGACCAAGCTGCAAACAATCATTGTACTTCCCTTTTTACACATCTAGCACACACATAGCTGTAATAAGAGTTACTTTTATGTCTCCATGGCGAATGTAAGTGTAATATTCCTTTTTCTTTAGATTAGTCTTGGTTTCCAGTAACTCCTTTGAAAAATACACTAGCCTTTAGCTTGCGAAGGGTTCCACAGTGCACATTAGCTTACTTGTTGCTATCTTCTTTGTTCTGATGTGTGTTGAGCACTGAAATCAGCTGCTTGCTGCTGCTGCTGCTGCTGCTGCAAACACGGTTGATAGAATAGTGACAGTTAGTTTTCTGCAATAAAGGTGTAGGCTGTTAGCAAAGAGATGCTAAAAGTTCAGAAGAGCTTAGCCAATCTCCACAGTTGGTTGATACTTTTTCAGTTGGTCTGTCACACCCCCTTTCACATTATTCATTGTCCTTTTTTAATATCATTTTATTGAGTGTATGACTAGTTCAAAGTTGTACTGGTACCCTGAAAAAGAAAAAATGTACTAAATGTAGCTTAGCATGTTAGCCTGTTAGCAATACAATCATGGACTAGCATTATGGTTACTGAAAAACCAAACCGTAAAGATAACATTTTAAAATATGCCTCTGCGGTTGCATTATATTCTCAAAGACTAAGAAATTAGTTTATTGCAAACTACAAACGTGTTCAAAGTGAACAGCAACCTGAGGTTAAAGGGGATTGGTGCACTGCATGTACAATCAAACACTAAGAGACTGAGCAAAGGCCTAATCCAATTCAGGGAGGTAGCTTCACCTTTGCATTAATAAGCAGATCTCACTTTAAAAGTGGTACTAACAGAAGGCTTATAAGACATGGAGGTTAAGAATGAGAAGAGGGGTCAGAGTTCAGAGGTCAGAACTTTAGAATTGCCACTGCTGTTAGGTTTACAGTTTCATTGCCTGAAGAAAGGAATTCTTGCTATTGAAGCTCCACTGCTGCTTGTTCAATAAATTGTCCTCTGACTTTTGGAGGTCAGAAAGGAAGATTAGAAGTGTGTGTAGTTATATGTTTTTGGCCAGTGGTTGATGCTCTTGTAAGAATAGAATATCTGCATAAGTTACACTTAGTTAGTTGGACTTCGGTCTAGAGAATCCTTTGACATCTTTTGTCCTGGATGCAGAATCGAAACAGAATAAGGTTATAAAAGTTTTTTTCTGCCTTCTTTCTAGGTTTAGGGTTATGTTTGTTTTTTGTTTGTGTTACTAAATAACATAAATTCAAATTAGGGATGCACAATATTTATTGAGTATCATATCATCCTTGCTCGAATCAAACCCATCTCTGAACTTAACCTTCGTTACTATCTCAACGCACAACTGTAACGTTTCGTGATGCCAAATCTAGCCAGGGGCGTAAAGTAGGGGAGCCATTGGCGCCTTGGCTCCCGTTGTGATGGGACCACAGCCATTTTCCAACTCAACCTTTTACATTTGATCTAATTTAAACATCTGTAGATTTGTGTGACACTATTGCAGTGACACAATCTGTCCACAGACAGACACAGAGACTTCAAAAGTGACTGGAAATAATCCAAAGTGTGCATCCCTAATTCAAATGTAATAGACAAGCTTGCCCCCTAGTGATTGACCTCAGTTGCTTTGTAGTTTTATGATCAGCATAGAAATGCTGTGGAACAAATCTTCCTTCTTTAAACGGTTTCCTTTGTTTCTGCAAAGTTTCTTTTTCAACTTAGTTTCCATAATCAACGGACTCTTTTCACAAGTCTTATACAATCAGTTTTGACTGTTTTTACCGTGGTTTGTTATAATTAATTAAGCAAAGGCTTTTTGTCTGTTGCAAACATTCACACCAGACCATAACTTACTTGAGCTGGCGAGTACTTTTAGTCATCAAAAATACTGAAATAACATTCTTTGCATACCTTGTGCAAGTGAAATCAAGGATGGATTTTGTCTAAAGCTTCTGATGCTAATAGACGACAGTGTTGAAAGGAGCAGTGGAAATAAACAATCGGAGAATTGTCATGACTCAAGAATAAGGTTAGATATCAAGAGATGGTATTTGTTTTATACTTATGTAGACTAGGATTAAATAGAATAAGGCCTTTCTGTTTCACTGAACGCCTTCACATCTGGATTCAATAAGTTCCATTGTGCTGTCTGCTAAGCCCTCCAAAAACCCAGAAAAAATGTCTTCCAGATGTTTTCTTCCCATTCTTGGTGGAACAGGGGACCATGAAAAGATTATACTGTTGCATTTTTCAAAAGAAAATACACCATTCTGAGCTGGTTCTTACCGAAAATTCCTAATCGAATAACATCTGCAGCCTTATAGCTGAGTTTGTAAAAATAATAGCAGTGTGCCTTGCCTTTCAGCCAGCTTTGAACATATCCAGGGTCATTAAAAGGTTCTTTTTGTTTAAGGCAGCCTACTTTATGGCAGGGTTAAAGGTTGGATACAGCTGGTCCGCAGCTGTTTTTCATTACAGTCTCTTTATATATGGACGGCTATTCTTAAAGGAATTTATATGGATAAGTAAAAATGTCCCTTTTG